CCCTCAGAGTCCTGCATATTTTCATTGAATACATTCTCCAAAGCTCAGAATTGACAAGCTCCCCAGTTAGCAATGCTTTCCCTACTGTCTCTCCAGAGATCAGAGCCATCAACTCACTTTGTAATTAGTCCCCAGATTTGTCTTAAATTCAGGCTTAACTAAAAGCACAGGCTGCTTTCTAATAAAATCACATGTAGAAACTGTAATAATTGAACTAAAAGCCTCTTTTATTTTATTTATTTTTTATTTTTTACCTCTGCCTTAGGTCTGACATAAGAGCCCCACAGTAAAAAGCCAGTATTTGCTCACAGTTAGAGTGCTGGGTAATGCACAATAGCCAAACCATTTCCACTCTGTTTTAAAAAAAAGAATAAGTGAGCTATCTCAAATTCTCTAACGCTGTAGCCACTACCAAGCACTGACATCTTAATAGCAATCACCATAGAAAGGAGTCCAGTGGGGCCACAACATTCAAGGCAGGCATTACTTTGAAGTGTGGCATTACAGCTCATCAGAACTGGAAAAAAAAATACCAAACAACACAACAATTATATCTCAGATTTGGCAAAAGAGAAAGAAAAAGAAAAAAATAGAAGCCAACAAACCAGGTCTGCTTTTAATCATAATCATAGCTTTGTAGATGAAAACCTATAGGCAAGCATGGCTTTGTCACTGTCAAATGGCTGCATGAAACTAACAATTACAGCTGATGGGAGCAGTGGAGGAACTAATCCCGCAGCAATAAACACTGCTTTTAAAACCTCCCTCCCTTACTGAGGACATGACTGTCTGCCTGAATGCTGGCAGGCCAGCGTAAAGCTGCAGATGACAGTAATTGTCAGAAAGGGCCATGGGTGAGTTTGACCTATTAAAATTGCCCAGCAAGTCCACAAGGCATATGGAGTTTCTGGGAGAAAAGGCTGTTGTTGGATGTGCAACTACTTGAAAACATTCAGATACATGCAAGCGCACACAGAGTCTGATGCTAGACACACTATCCCAGCCTACAAAAAAAATAAATACATAAAGGTACATTGCAAGCGCTGTGTTCTGGGCTTGGAAATGTGTCCTTACAGAGTAGCAAACCTGAGATGAGAGCTCATTTTTCCACCAACATTTTCTTAGCTTTGTGACCTTACTGGCAAAAGGTATGATTAGAATATGACAAAGATCCAGTATTTGGCCTGTCATCTGACGGTAAAATTCCCCATCTCTCAGAATACTGTTTGGTTGAGGCCAAAATGAAGTGGGTGAGCACAGAATTGAAAGAGGAACAAAGCTCTTCATCATGTCATGGACAACTGGCTCATTCCATCCAAAGGAAGGATGCTAGAGTGTCATTGGCTTGGACAGAAGCAAGTGTATTGAGTCACTGGGCTAGGTGTTAAGGAAGCTTTTCTATGACTTTTTTTTTTTTTTTTTTTTTTTTTTTTTACCTTCCACATGGAGGCTAGGAATTTCACAACAATGTTTTGTACAGTGCCAGCTGCTACTGAGTCTTCAGGTGCCTGAGATCTTGAGATGCTCCCAGAATATAAATCATCACATAGATGTATATTTACGTTGCAAAGGCAAGCTACCATGATAGAGATAAACTTGATAAATAAACTAAAATCAATAGAAATTGGGGGTTTAAATCCTATGGCATGGATTAATTGTTAGATTCCTCTTGCAAGAAGGAAACAGCCATCAGAGACTCCAAGAAGTTTTCCATCTGCAGGAACTATCAGAAAGAGGCTGTTTATAGATTTCTGCTTTGTATCTGAAATTTGCATTAATTATAAATTCCAAAAAAAAAAAAAAAAAAAAAAAAAGGTTTTAAACTTTTAGAGCTGGTAAAATGTTCAAGAGCATGCTTGCAGATCTAGAGAAATGTTATTCTCTCATCTTTATGTTATATGCACAATTTGTAAAGAAAAAAATTGTAAGGCAGTTTGTAAAAATAGAAAAAGAGAGGAAAATTTAGGTCTTTAATCAATAGCACTAAGTATGTACATACGTATTCAAAAGGAGAGATTCAGAATCAGTGAAAAAATTATTGCTAAATCTTAGGCAGTAATGAGTTTTGACTACATGTCATGCATTAAAATGTGATGCGTATAGAGAAATAATAGTGCTCTTGAAATTTGGTGACAATACCAGACTAAGCTGAAAGAGTTACACAGCTGAAGAGCTGCACAGCAAAGACAGGATCACGAGTTAACAGGCTATGGAGTACAGAGTGGAGTGGGAAAGCAGTAATGGAAAGGCTGTTGAGTTTACGAGGGTGAAGAACGCTTACAGATAGAAAATAGCTTACTGAAATGTTTCCTCTTAGTAATCAATTTCTATTTAATTCTTTTTTTTTGCTATTAACTCCAGGAGTGTGAAATAATTTACAAATTTATGCATATGGTATTAAGGTAAAATTACAGGAAACTGAAACCCTCTCCAAAGTTTGTAATCCTTGGATAAGTTCATTTCTACAGCTTTTCTACACTTGACCTCATGGTGTTTTTGTTCTCACTGCATAACATATTTGATGGAGGAGTTTGGTAGAAGAGCACTCTTCCATGCCTCTCTTCAAGCATTACCTGAAATAAAAATAAGCATAAGTTTAAGGAGGTAAAGAATACTAAAGATTACGGTATCTTCCACTAGTAATTGCTTGCTATAAGCTTCTAATCGGTTAAAGCATTATAATTGTTCATCATTTTGCAAAGCTTCCTTCAGAAAGGAAATTTGGCAAAGGATGCTCTTGGGATACCAATCTGACATGCCCATTGGCCACACTGCTCTAAGCTATTCGGCCTTGCACTTAGAGCAGACACCTGGGCACTCCATAGCCTGCCTCAGCAGCTCTCACCAGACTGACTTATGGACCAGTATGTGGCTTTGATGAGTCCCTTTTCAGCCCTGCCTCCTGTTAAGATTAAGCCTGAAAGCTTTCTAAAATGCAGTTTATTTTTATTTTTTATTTTTGTTGTTGTTGTTTTGTTTTGGTGGCCTTCCCCTCCTCCAATCCTAAACTGGTGGGGATTTAACTTTGCCTCATGCTGGGCTAGGCAGTGAGGGCTAAGCCAGCTCTGCCCCAGCCAGTGCCTGTGCTCAGTTTTCATTCCATGACAGAAGAAAGAAGGAGGAGCTCTTGAAGTCAAACCAACATGGAGTGCTACCAGGGTGAGGCCAGCATTGTGCCCAAGCACACGTATCTGAGACAACTTTCCAAGGCTGCAATGAATCACTACAGATTGAGCATGTGAAAACTAATTCAGACAGGGGCATTTACCTCTTAGACACCCGAGTGGGTTTCTGCCACAGAAAGGCAGCCTCAGTCTCCTAGTACTTTAAAAACTAGAGCTTTAAATTGCAACTTAAAGGATTTTGTTTTGGCATAGACGAGAACATTTTCTGCAGGTTCTGAGTTATCTTTGGAGAAGCTTTTATTCTAATTGTTCCTCTCAGGAAAATGGTTAGCAAATGTTGACATCATTTAATTGCATAATGGTTGAAAGTCACTTCATATCATTTAGTAAAGACATTGGCTTAATCTTTTTTCCTTTTTTTTTTTTTTAATTATATTTGCCACAGTGATATATTTGTGTTATTAAATCATCTTGAATTTGCAAGAAGATTTTAAAAACAATGTATTTTTAGAATGAGTCATGCTCAATCAATCATCTGAACAGATCTGCCAGGAGAAAGCTGGCTGCAGAAGGCACAGCAGAGACAGAATTTCCCCAGGAGAAAGATGCAGACCAATATGATTCTCTGCAGTGTGTGCCACATCAAACTTATGCCAGAGCTATAGGAAGGGCAAATGTTAAAGGCAAAAAGCAACTTAAAGTGTCTTAGCATCATCAGAGGGAAGCATATTTTCATTGTCTGACAAAGGTCATTATTTTAGAAAAGTATTATGAAGGCTTTGATTAGCACTGACAAGGAACCTATGCTCAGAAGACGCATGCATGACCTGCTCTTGTTTAAAAACCCTATGCTTAGAAAAAAACAGAGCTGAAACATGTTCTGTACTTTGGGACTGAGACAAAAAGAACTGAATTTAGAAGCTCCTTGCTAGGTTCATTAGCTGATGAAATCTTACTCTTGGACATCTGTCCTGCCTCTCCCATCCCTCTCCTTACAGTTTTACATAAGCTAAAAGAGCACCCAAGAAGAGCCTGTCTTCATGGATGGACTCCAAACCCCTCCGCATCTACAAAAGTGTTATGGACAATGGACAGAGCTCTTTGCTTTCTAAGGTCTTGGTCTCAGACCTACTTCCTACTTACAGGTGTGGCGAGGAAGAGTGACAGTCCACCTCCACCTTACAGTAATGTTCAGCTTTGCATCACACCTTCTCTCTGAGTGACAGCACTGAGATTTTGAATGAAGCTTAAGAGATTTTTCATGCCGTGTAAACAGGAAAAAAGTTTCAGCATTTTTTTTAGCTAGCTTTGAAAACCAAAGCCTAGAAAAGCCATTCTGAATGGGTTTTATTGCCTGTAGGCATTTTTATAAATAGCAACATGAAGTTACCATTTCACATTAGTGCTTTCTTTATCCATGGCCCTTGTAGGTAAGGTGAAACACTGAGTAATGCATTTATAAAACAATAAGTGCATTTTCCTTGAAGACCTGAAGTATTAAAAGGACCATTAAGTTTTTCAAGAGAGAATAAAATTCAGCTTTGACAAAATCACCTTGCAAAATAAACCATCTGTCCATCATAGTCCTTCTGATCTGACATCATGTGCAGTTTTCTTTCTCAGTTAAAAATTTGACTGTAGAATTCCTCAATTCTTTCCCTTCTTAGGTCTTTTCAATACTATGGGCAATGGATCACCTTGCAAATGGATTGGAAAGGATGGCTGAATCTGATGGTTTTGTTTTTTGTTTGTTTGTGTGTTTTCACAGAGAGATTTTACAGTGGCAGAAACACCTAGGCCAAATACTCCACTGCTCACCAAATGCTATCTATGGTCATTTGCACTGCCCAGCTACACTCAAAGTTATAGCTGAAATTTTCATAAGGCATAGTTATACTAAAATTGGAATGGTACAGGGAAGATTAGCATGGCTCCTGCGCAAGGATGACACACAAATTCGTGAAGCATTCCATATTTTGTAAATTAAACCAACGACACTGAAACCTAGGCGTAGGTGTTACGTTTCTTACCCTCAGGAAGTTTTAAGCTTAGAAATTAACAAGACCAACATTCAAAAGTTTTCTGCTCATTGTGATGTGCTGTTAGCAATGGTTCTACTACTGTACTGTCATGGTTAAAGCTGTATTCACGTCTGCACCTCAGGAAAGGAATTTCAGTGTTTTTATCGTAAGGATTAAAAAAAAAAAAAAAAAAAAAGCTGTATTTTCAGCCCTCTGTCTGTGAATAGAATTTGAGTCATCTGAGAAGTTTCAAGAAAAATCAGTTAATTGGTTTCCAAGGGTTGACCAATTAAAATCTGGCACCAAGAAACATTCCTGTGCTAAGCTTTGTGTTTTAGTAAGCCTGTGTTGTTTAAAAACATCCACAGGAAAAAAAAATAAAAAAATCATAGCCTGTGAGAAGTTAGCTGAAGTGTTAGGGTGAAAATGTCTTTGCTCATTAGCAAGAAAACAGAGCAGGATTTTGCTTTTCTTGGCTTACGTCATAGTCTGCCAGCACAGTCACACCAGGCTGAGAGTTTGAAGATTAATTATCCCCCATATCTCCAATGAAACACTAGCTAATCCTCTGTTACATTTCAGCTGTGTGATACGGGGCACTGAGTTCAGCACTGCTCCTCACCCATGTGGCTCCAGACACAGCGAGGTCTGCCTTCAGAAAGCCCAGGAATTATTTCAGGTGGATCGACTGACTCAAGGGTTATATGTCAGATTTCTGCATCAGACAGCTTATCTCTTTCCCACCTTCTTCCTCCCCAGCTATTCCTCCACCCCTTGCAGCTCCCCTTGGCGCAGCTCAGGAGTCCTCCCGACGTGGGCATTCGCTATTCCTCCATCTGTGCATCAGTACCAACCAGGGGAGCCGATTCCTGCTGTCTTCAATGTGCTGTGGAGGTCATTTTGCCTGGTACCCTCACAGCTGATACTCTTCCCAGAGCCTTGGAGCACCAGCTGCATGAACAGGACTGCGTTCAAGCAACATAAGGAACTCCTGGAACCCAAAGAAGGGGTGTATTAAGCAGGAGGTTACAAACAACTACCAGCTTTAATCATACGGGTTCATTTTGTGTTGTTTCCCATTCCTTTGGCTTTTTCACATGTCTTCTGCTTTTTCTTGATCTCTGTTGCCCCTCACAAGGCACAGGTATAAAATAAACATGTTTTCTGTGTGATAAAAGTAGGGCTCTGGCTCATTGCATGCTGCCTAATTGTTTGAGCTTTCTTCTTTTTCTTCCTTGAGGCTATCTCTTGTTATCTTTCAGAAGGGTCATAGTGAAAAGATCAGCTGGTGGTGTTGAACTCCTCTCTGGGCCTCACTGAGTAGCAAAACAGACAATCAAGCCAGGAACTCTTGTCAAATGCACAAGATAGATAGATAGACTAAAAAGAAGTTCTCAAGCAAGGCTAGACAGCCTTGCATGCAAATGAATGTGGAAATGCTGAACATGGAGACTGGGTCTGGCTCCTGTTTAAGAACTGTAGGGTTTCTAGATGCCAGGGACCACAAAATTATTGGTCACATTTGAGTCAGAACATATTCTTCAGTTCTTCTGGATTTTTAGGCTTTCTAACCTACTATGATCAAATAAGAAATCAAATAGTAAGGTCTGGTCTGAACCCACATCTTCACATTGAACCTGACAATCTTTTTTAGCCTTGACATTTGTGTTCAAGCAGACCAGGACAACTTCTGAGGAGCAGATTCTAATGAAGCAAAACATTTTTTTTGGTGGGAAAGTTTTAGTCACAGACAGTGTGATCTTCCCAAGAAGCTAAGAATAGCTTCTACAAAGCATAAAGCCTCTGTGAGTATTGGATGTGACAGAACCTGCCTTTGGCACAGACAAAGTGATGATGACCACGCATTTCTATGTTGCCTCTGAATGGTCTCTCTTCCTCCTGCCAGGTAAGACAAAACACAAACTTTCAGGTAAGATTGCTACTGTCTGAGGTGAAGCACACCATCTGCTTCTATATCAGGGTATGGCCCTTTGGATATTGCAAAGATGCAGGTGAGTTTGTTTTGCCACATTCATGCAAAACAAGAGCTTTCACAAACAATTTGTCCGATGAATTCTGATATTGATATTAGTTGATATTGATCCTTCTAGGCATCTGCAAGACTCTCCTGATTCATAATAACATACTTGGAAGTGAAACTAAGATGAGAGCAAGGGCTTTGTGTTCTTCTACAAGATAAAGACCCTGCAGTCAGGTGTCCCCAGATGAGAAACTTCAAATAATCAGGACAAGCCGTCTTGGAACACCAGGAAGGGAACCTGCATATGCAGCATATCACAGTCTTTATGTAAACTGCGTTTGGAAAAGTTTGGGAGATTTAGAGAAGTTTCGTGTTGAGTCACTGGCAATGATAAATCGTTGTGTCCTGAAAGCAAAACAAATCAAAACAAAAATCTGCTTTATTTTAAGTGAACCTATTGAACGGAAAGAAAGAAGGGAAGAGAAATGGAAAGAAAATTCCTGTTGGAATAAAGGTTGCAAAAGGTGCACTAAAATGCTAGGGAAAAGGAAACAGCCTGCAAGATCAGCAGTAGACAAGTGAGCAAGAACAGGATGATGGTAACGGTAGGAGAAAATCATGAGGAATTTTCTTAGGAGGCAGGAAGTCAAGGTCAGGTGCCACAGATTTAATGAAGAACTGCAAGGTCTGTTCGGAGTGTGCAGGGTGGCTGAGGTCACACAGCACAGGGAATAACAAAATGTAGGTGAGAGCAAAACTTCAGGAGTAAAAACCAGGGAAAACTGCTGTGTGCACAGATTACAGGTTGGACTTCTAGGGCTTACAAAGTATGGAGAGGGAAGGCTCAGCTTCTCCAAAACTTCTCAGCCTGCTTTTTACTCTTCAGGGCTGTTACCATTGCTGAAACCACAACTGTAGTTTTAGAGACTGGGTGAGGCACCAGGGTTGGACCAGCTCTGTCTTTTCAATGCAATAGTTGGTATAGATCCCTCTTTTGCTTCGAGGTTTACATTTTTTCCCTGTCAGTTTGCTCAAATGGCATATACTGATTATGCAGTGGGCCAGAGCGTGGACCTTCCCAGCTAACAACTAGGGAGAACAATTTCATTAATCTTTGTTTAGCACAGGCTACTAACAGAAGTTTCTTTCTTCTCATGCAGAGCTCTCTGATGCAGGTCCCAGGGCTAAGGAATTTTGCTAACATCCTGTGTGCCCATTCATTAATTTGCTCTTTTTTGACTAACAAGGATGAACAACATCACGATAAAAGCTGGATGCAAGGGTGCAGTTTTTACAAGTTATTTTAATAATGGTACAGAGCAAAAAGATTAATAACTGTACAGGAAATCAAATTGCAAAAATAATTTTAAAATACCCAGCTTTTATAATAATGGGTACTTAGAAAACACTCATGGGAAATCCATTGCTTAGTTCATCTTGTACAGTATATAATTAATCCTTCGACCCTTACAGCATTACATGTACAAGACAGATCCAGCAGAAGCACTGAAGTGTATTGCTCTCGTGTTTCAGTACAGACAAGTAAAGATGTGGCATAAGGCAAGTCCCTTCCCTGAGCAACCACCCGTTATCTGCTTTGGTCTCAGGAAACATGGAGTTCTTGATAAATTAAGGAAAACAGATTTTTTTGATACAATTTGAAAAACAAAAATGGCATAAAACATCTGTGGATTTGTCTGCTCAAAAGCAGAACTTGAGGGGGGCTTTGCAGATGTGCCCACCCTGCTAGGCTGAGTGAAGTTTCCCATTGAGAGCAAAATCTCACTGACCTGGGTCTGAAATTGGTTTAAGCTCATGCAAAGTGAGTTGGGTATTGCAGCTGTGATTTATTTGTGAGCACAGTCCCACAACAGAAGTACTAGCAAAGTGTTTTGAGTACAGACGTGGCTGCCACCAGCAGTGGGCTGAGAGCATGGTGCAGGCACAGTGTCAGACATCTTGGGGTTCTGCAGGCTGTGCTCTGACAGGCTTTAGGGTCTTAATCATCTCCACTTCAGTTTAGGAAGCCTTCCAGTTCCTTCTTTGCTGAGACTTTTGTTTCCAGGGATGTGTACAGGTGTCAGTCTATCCACCATCCACCGAGGTTATGACAGTAATCTACATGGGTACTTCTTCCTTCAAACCCATCTATTTTCTTCCAGTTCTTAGATCAAGGTGGAACTGCTCAGATATGAGGCTTCCAAAAGCGCTCTCCAGGTTAAGCCCTCCGTATAGTTCTTCTAAAAATTAATCGACAGAAAGAAGCAACCTGCTACATCAAAGTAAAGTTAAACAAAAATATTCTGGAAACACAGCTGCATATAAGAAACTGCTGTCTGCATCAGTTCTTGCTGGGTTCCCCAGTGACTCACCATTGCAGAATTTCACAGGAAAGAGCTCTCTAAGATGTCTGTCCCAGAGGGCCCGTGCCAGGCTTAGTTGCAAACCAAATGAATTAATCACATTAGTTCACACAAAAAGACTCCATCAGATATTCATCCTTGTAAATCTCAGCTGCGCAGCATAATAAACCATCTCGGGGATCCTGCATTGCCTGAGAGGGGCACTGCAGGCCAAGTGGGATGTCTGCTTCCCAGTTCAAAGTCATGCCAAGTCTCCCACTGCTTCACTTCAGGCTTCCTGGCTGCAGAGGCATCTGCTTAAAGCAGAGCTGGGAGCAAGAAGTGGCTTGGAGAAAAAACACCTGGGTAGCCTTACTTTCATTTCCCATTTCCAGCGGGGAAGAAGGTTGAGCTGGTGAGTCCATTTTGCACCCTCGGAGTTAGTTTTCATACAGGCAAGAAGCAACAACGGGTAATTATTCACTGATTCCTGCATGGCAGGCCCAAAACATCAAGGCTTCTGCATCGGCTGTCTGCCAGCCTCCAGTCCCAAGGCATATCCTGTGTATAATACCAAGCAAAAGAAGCAAAGCCTTGGAGTGTTCTCTCCAGACAGAGAAGCGCTGTACAACTGT